CCGCCGGATCTCCCGCCCCGGCAGCCCGGCTCCCGCCTCTGCGCGCCATTCCCCGCTGCTCCGGCCATGGCGGGCCTGGTGGTGCGACCCGCCAAGGGCTACCGGGTGGTGCTGCTCGGGAGCGTGGCCGTGGGCAAGACGGCGCTGGCCACGCAGTTCGCGTGCGGCCGCTTCCCCGAGCAGTGCGAGCCGTCGGTGGAGGAGCTCTTCAGCAAGGTGATCGAGGTGAACGCGGCACCCGCGTTGCTGGAGATCGTGGACACGGTGGGCGCCGAGCACCTGGTCACCCTCAAGGACCTCTACATCAAGAACAGCGACGGCTTCGTTGTGCTCTACAGCGTGTGCAGCGAGGCCTCGTTCGAGGCGGTGCGGCCGCTGCGCGAGCGCATGGGCCGGCTGCGAGGCCCCAAGGCGGTGCCGCTGGTGCTGGTGGGCACCAAGGCCGACCTGGACGCCCAGCGCCAGGTGCTGACGGCGCGGGGCCGCGCGCTGGCACGCGAGTGGCGGTGCCCGTTCCTGGAGGTCACAGCCAAGAGCAAACTGATGGTGGACCAGGTGTTCACGCAGGTGGTGCGCGAGATGGAGGCCCTGGCCCCGCCGCAGGCCGAGGTGGCGGACGCCCCCCCCAGTGCCCAGGATACGTGGCCATCGGAAAGATTCATTGGCTGACGTGCACGGGTGACTTTTTAACCTGCTCTCCGCTTTCGCTGACTTCCGGAGCTCAGGATTGCTACCCAGTGCCTTTTTAAAGAAAGTTACCGAGCCGAAAACAAGTGTTTACTTCTATATGTCAACTCTGATCGGTGCTTCAAGCTGTCTGCAGATCTTTCTTCACTATTTGGTGAAAACTCTGTTTATCTCCGACAGTGCTGTAAGAAGAAACTATAATAGCATTCTTTTTTTCCGTGTATGGAGAGAGCGCCGCGCAGTTCTTCAGGCGGAATCTGCTAATGGACGTTGTATGCACGTGTGTATGTGACAATCAACACCTGAGTGTCATTCGATATTTGAATTGACTGAGGAGCACGAATTAAAGAGTTTAAGCTTTGATTCCATGAGGTTTCCATGCGTTTCCCTCTCCTTCACTGCACTGAATTGCAGCAGTAATATTTTCCTCTCTGTGTATTTCTAAATATAGGTATGACATACATAGCACTGGTTTGAAAAGGGATATTGTGTACCCCGGGAGAACAACTGTGTGCTCGCAAAGATAGCTCAGCTCTGTCTTTTTGTAACTGACATCTAGTCCATTTCTGCATCTGTAAATTGAGTGAAAATAAAATTACTTTAGAAGTCGGTCATTTTTAATATTTGTCTTTCTAACGTTTAAATCTATAATTTCTAAAGTTTTCCTACACTGTCTCTGCCTGTCAGTTATTTTCCAGGAAACAAGTTAGCACATAGAGAAGACGGCAGCACATCTGGTGTGTTCTGCAAAAGTGCCTCAGCAGCCAGTGTTACTTACCGGCCAGGTTACGCTACCTTGTCTGAATACCTGCAGAGTTTATGGTGACACAAATACTGAAATAGAAGCAAAACAAGAAAGAATCATTTTGTACGGTTTTCACATAACAGATTTTTCTTGCACTGGCTTAAAAATATTGTTTTATAATTTTAAAAAAACTTATCTTTGGTATGAGTTGTGTTTATTTCCACAAGTTAGTTTTACCTCGCCTGCTATGACATATTTTCCAGATTTAGGTACCCAATCTAACCATTTGAACATCTTTCTGAAAAAAATAAACAAGAAAGCTCAAAACTCTGTGATCTGAAAGTTATTTTTGTTAAAGGAAAGTCATTTATATAGTGATAGTTACAGAAGGCTCTGGTAGTTTTTATCTATATTGTAGGTGATGTTTTAATAGAAGGATGGATTTTACCTTAATATAAGAGATATGTTTTAGAACCTAACAGCAAATTTGCCACAGGCAAGGGCTGGGCTGGGACTGTCCCTGTCTTCCTCTCCCTCCTGGGATGGGTGGAGGGTTGGGAAACTTACTTTTCAAGCCAGCTGACTCACTTCTCTCCTCTGACCGTCTATCTTCTGAGGTCCCTTCCCTGGCAAAGCCCTAATAACCTAATGGAACGTTTCAAATGACGGGGGGGGGGGGCAGTGAGAAGCAGGGAACACCTTCCTGGCCTCGGCTGTCATTGTGCAAAGCTGCCCCTCCTCTGGAGCAGAGGAAAAACACAAGACTGTTTACTGACCGGGTATTGGGCTGTGCAGGGAAAGCCAGGGGAATAAACAGCATCCCGTTCCCAGCCATGGGAGCTGTGCCCCAGTGATGGGAGGCTGGGCGCTGCCACCCCCATCCTGCCCTGCCCTTCTGACTTCTGTGCTGAGGCCTCCCAGGAAGGTCTAATGTCCCTCTATGAGGTCTCGATCCAGAAAACATTTCCAAATAGCCATTTCTGCCTTTGGATTCCTAGGACGACCTCAGACACGCCCACTCAGTGTTCCTGGCTGTCGGGGCAATGTGGGACTGATAGGGCCATGTAGCCAGCTCCTGTGCCCTCCGGAGTAGGAATGAGAAAGCTTTCTGAGTGCGTATGTGCACACACCTACAGATACACATGAAATTAAAGACCCATGTACTGGATCTTTCTTCTTCTCTTCCTACATTTCTTTTTCTTTTTTTTTTTTTTTTTTTTTTTTTTTTTTTTTTTTTTTTT